GATGCCTTCACGGGCACCTCTCCGAGGTGCCAGGTTTGATTGGGCTTTATTCCAGCCCGCCGAGAGGGAAACGCCGGCCGCTTTTATCTTATTGCTGCCTTTCAACCCAAACTCCAGCCACGGGCAGTGACCCCGGTGAGGTCTGGAGGCCAGGGGACAGGAGCGGGCACGGGGCGCAGAGCCGAAACCCTCCCGGTGCCAAGGCGGCGATGGGTGGGTGAGAAAGGCGAGCTGGGAAACCCTGCACCTTGTTTTTCACAGGGTGAAGCTGCTAATCCCGGGTTTAATTACACCTAAATTCAGTGGGAGATAATCCAATCAGCCTCATTAAGGAGAGGTCCCAGACTGGTACGGAGATTTGGGCCGTAGCCCAGCCGGGGTGAGAAGGGCCACATGCCAAGGGTGCCCTGTCACCCCGAAACCCCTCTAGTTCTGCACCCTGTCGCCCTCTTGCCCGCTCTGGGCTGGCCAGGGCAGCTGCGACTTGGTGGGGTGTCCCTGGAGCAGGAGGACATGAGGTGACGCCCCGGTGACCAGCTCCATCCCAAAGGATGCCACTGGTGATGGCAGAGGGGGAACTGGTCTGCCTGGTCCCTGCGAGTTGACAGTGGCTGGCAGGACCCTCCCTGGAGGAGGTGGGTGGGTGGCAGCCCTCACTCACCCTCTTGCACAAGGGGACTGGCTTGGTGACACCCAGTGCTTGGTGGCCGGCCTGGGGACAGTCCCTGCCAGGGAGGAGAGTGGAGACTGGCCACTTGTCACTGCCGTGCCCGCTCCACGGGTGCCAGGGACAGGGTAAGGAGTGTCCCTTATCTCCTGCAAAAAAGAGTCCTGGCTGGGACTTTTTTTGGGAGGATAAACCTCCAACCCTGGGGCTTTCGCTTTGCTGGGGTGGGCAGGCCCCACCGGGGGTGACATTTGGACCCCTCCGCCGACAGTCCCTCTTCTCCCTGCAGTTTCGGGAGAACCTGCAGGATGTGCTGCCCTCCCTGCCCTCCCAGGATGACTATTTCCTCCTGAAATGGCTCCGAGGTAACCCCAGGGTGGGGGGCACACGTGCTGGCTGGGGGGCCAGATGACCCTGGGAGGGCTGCGGAGCCGGGGCCGCTGGCGGCAGGGCTGAGCTCTCTGCTCTCTTGCAGCGCGCGGCTTCGACGTGCCCAAGTCGGAGGCGATGCTCCGCAAGGTGAGAGGCCCCCCCGCTTTTTGTGGGGACCCCCCCATGCTGCCGTCAAGCTCCCACTGGTCACCTGGGGATGGGACAACATGCAGTGGGCCACCACCCCAGCCTCTCTCTCCCGACGGATGTGACCTGCCCATGAGGTGCACCCCATCCCATGGGATAAGGGGTCTCCAAATTCCCTCACCCCGCCTCGCTCTGCTCCCTCCTCGCAGCATGTCGAGGTCCGGAAGCACATGGACGCCGACAACATCATTGCCTGGGAGGCCCCCGAGGTGGGTGTCCCCAGCCCTGGGACAGGTGTCCCTGGAGGGGACTGTCCCCGTTCCCCCCTCCCTGGGGGGCTGCGCAGCTCCCCTGAGCCCCCCGTGTTCCCGCAGGTGATCAGAAAGTACATGTCGGGGGGGATGTGCGGCTACGACCGGGAGGGCAGCCCCATCTGGTACGAGATCATCGGGCCGCTGGACGCCAAGGGGCTGCTCTTCTCCGCCTCCAAGCAGGACCTGCTCAAGAACAAGTTCC